GAAGAATATTTGTCCACTTCAAGAAAATGTCAGACGTATTGATCAACAGAAACTGTCAGTAAAAAAGTCGGGAAACAATATATATATATAGTATACCAGGAAGCAAGAAGAAGCATTGACCCGATTTTATCCACAACGAAACACTGTTATTAAAAAGAAACACATACTGATATATATATGTTTAAAGTCAACCAGAAATTCGAAAATCTTATGTTAATTAAATGGGCGCTAAGAGAAGTATTGAACCGAACCAAGCCATTTTTAGCATTCAGACAAAGTAATAAGAGGAACGGATTTTCTCCGAATTTCTAACACATTCACAAATACTTTCGGAAAAAAGTCAGTTATATGCAGTGATTCGTTATTGAAAGTTTATTTTATGATATCGATGATTTTAGAAAGAGAGATGACATAATTTATTCCCAGTTTTGTATCGATAATATTGTCTCCAATATCTTATACAAGTATAGCGCAAAGGGACAAAAAATTTTTGTAAAATTATATGGTAAGTAGACATGGTTGCAGTCCGATTTCAATGATTTCTAAACTTTGATACAAGGATAAAAAAATAGTATTTTACGAACCATATTTCGTTTAAACTAGTCTTAGTCCCTGAGATGTAGGATAGAGAGTGGGCGTGACTGTCTTATAATTTCACCCATTTCTCGAATAGTATGAGGATATCTGAAATAAATTCTGCATCGACAAGTTTGATCTATATAGCACGTAAAATTTGAGCTTTATGAAAAGTTTAAGCACATAGATGCCACTACTGTATCCAATGAGCCAAATTATAATTTTGTGTCTTAATGTGGAGCTTACTAATAGTGGTTTATAAAAAAATAGGCCAGTGAATTTCGTTTCTTGGTAAAACAATATGCCTGAAGGGAATGCAAAGCAATAGCTTAAAAAGTGGATAGAAAGAAGGCCACAATAAAAAGTGATGTCAGTCAATATCGCGCAAGAAATTTTGTTCGGGGCCGTAAAATTTAATTAAGTGAGCTAGTTGCCATTAAATTATCGAGTATCTAGGCAAACCTGTGACTTTCAAAGAACAACCTAACACTTTTAAAAAATGCTCAAAAATAGTTTATGTTCCAGTTTAAAATTTGAACTAAATGAATTTCCAAACACCGTAGTCCGCCAGATTTGGCACCCGGCGACTACTTACAGCTTCCCAAACCCAAATGTGCAGGTCAAGATAGAAACTAAACTATATTTTGAAGATCTCGAAATGGAACATAATTGAACAGGTATCGAATTGTTGGCGGACCATTTTGACTATTGCATTACTTGCGATTGATATCATGACGAAAAATTAAGTCGTACTTTTATTTAAATAAATATTTCATCATTGTTGCGCTAAACATTTTTTAGTCCATGAAGTTTAGTTACGGGGTTAAAAAGGTTTACGGGTTTTAAAATACCGATTTTTTTATTATCTTGATAAATTCTACAACACCTCTAAAATATTAACCTAAATTTTCAAGTTGATCCGAATAACAGTTTCGGAGATACAGCCTTGAAAACTTGCGTCTATAAAAGAGTTTTTCTCGAAACTATATTTTTGAAATATTCATGATTTCTAGAGAGCACTCAACCAATCTTTGTGAAATTTTACACAATCTTTGAGATACAATTCTTAATTCTTTTTCGATTACAACTATTTGGTAAAAAAAAATGTCGCGTAATCTTTACTGAAATTTTAATTTTTTTGTAAAAGCATCAATTTTCACCTTTTTTCCCTTCGTCCACGTTCAAAGTTAAGGTTTAAACCAATATTCGTATGTTTTAACTTTATGATCCTGTAACTTTCTCTGCAAACCTGGACGAATCTTTTTTTAGAGAGCTCACCGGAAATGGCGTCGCAATGCTCATGTTTAGAATAGTTTTTTCCAAAAGTTTCAGATTTTTTTTGTTAATAGTATATGTTTATAACAATAAAAAACTGTAATAAAAAATTTTATTTTTTATATGAAATAAAAAAATTTTGAAATAAGGCTGTTTTCTAACCGAAGACACATTAGGGAATGCAGTGGGAGATATTTTCTTACGCCCTGAACAAGTCATATTAAGATTGCTATGAAGTTGGTAACGCACAGAAGGAAACGTAAAAGACCCTATAAAATATATTATTATAATATCGGGCAGAGTCGATCTAATCATGTTCGTGTGTATGTCTGTATGTAGTCCCTCAGTTCTTGAGATATCGATCTAAAATTTAGTACCCTAACTTTTCTCACCAAGAAGCTGACTTGTCGGAACCATCAATATCAAACGACTATAACATGTAGCTGCCGTAAAATATATCCAATCATAATAAAGTTCTTGTATGGAAATTTTTTTATTTAACAAATTACCTTCCCGAAAATTGGCATATATTATTACCTAAAGCATCGCTAAAATATCCGAAAAAAATTGTTCAGATCGAGCAAGCATAACAGATAGCTGCCATTCAAATGCCTACTCTATCTTTCCATAGTATGGTTTGAGTCATTGCTAAAAACCGTTTGAGCGAAAAATCCTTTTCGCTACACAGACAAGCAACCCGTTGTTTCATACCGAAAACCACGCTGATTTTAAAACTTTCTAATGACATACAAAACTCCATTAAAATCACTCAATACACACAAGTTGTGAGTGTTGCCCCTTCATTTTGTTCATTTCATTAGTTAAACTAGTATTAACCCACTCGTCGCTGGAAACTTTTTCATTATCGCCACCGAAGCCACCGTGGAGTTAACCAGCCAACAAGCTGCTGTCCACTTAATAACAATATAGCAGTTTCGCGACCAAGTTTTTGAGTGAATTTCAGTGTTTGCAGCGCAGAAATATTCGCCATCAATATGATTAATTCACTAATCAATTTTCATGCAATTACGAAAACTTTTCTTCTGCGCTTAAGTACACATTGCCAATAGTTTGTATAAGTACTTACATGACCAACGCTGTAGCAGACCCGTGCGACAAAATATCGACTTGACGGCTAAATATAATATTATGTGGTTACATAATGAATAAGGCTGCTAAAAAAACTAACTCAAGTGAAATGTTTTTAGTTCGTATTAAATAAAGCAATTAATTTTCGATAATTAGAAGCGAAACGATTTATTCGTGCTGGTGCGAAAATGCACTCAATGCTAAATAGTAGCGGGATAATACATTCGTCTATTTTATTTATACAAAAAAAAATAAAAAACAAAAAAAGAAAAAATGCTAATAGCCTTCACAGGTATATTTTTCATAGCACAAAAAGGGTATAGAAATATCTTTATTTTGATTTTGATAGACCAGTTTGTATGGCAACTATATGCTATAGTAGTTCGATCAGAACAAATTTTTCGGTGGTTGTACCTTTACCTTAAATAATAATCTATACCGAATTTCGAGCAGAGATCTCGTCAAATAAAAATGTTTTCCATACAGGGACTTCAAATTGATCGATCAGTTTGTATGGCAGCTCTACGCTATAGTGATCCCATCACAAATATTTCTTCGGACAATACAGCGTTGCTTAGGTCAGTAGTGCATGCCAAATTTTGTGGAGAATGCTCGTCAAATGGAAAAGTTTTCCATACAAACTCTCGATTCTGGTAAAAATATCTCACTAATTGACGGACTAGTTCACGTGTATGGCTACATCGGCTCAGCTCTTCAATCTGATAATTTATATTATATATATTCATACTATACATTTTATAAGGCAACCGACGTTTCCTTCTGGGTCCTACAAAGTGTGTGTCAAACCTAACATATTCTATTCAGTCTATAATGAGTGCTAGTGGACTAGTAAGTCACTTTTTAAACTAGAAATGGTTGTAATGGAAAGAGCGTAACACTAATTAAAGAGAAGAAGACAACTTACAGCTGCGCTGAAGTACAGAATCGAGCAGCAGTAGCAGGCGCGGGCACGGCTTAGAGCTTAAACTGTATCCAATGGCCCATACTTTCCCAATGAGAGCTGAGAGCGATTGTTGTTGCTTTTGTTGCCTACCAAGTTGAGGTATTATCAGTTATTTGGAATAATGGGAAAAGTTTTCGCAGCTGCTGAACTTGTTGACAACGAACACGAAGCGTGTTCATATAACAGCAACAAAAAGTGAGCCAACATTTGCACCAAAGTGAGCAGCATGTAAGGGAATCTGCTACGGCCAATCTATGACACTGGTCATAGTTTCAGCTTATATATATGTAAACAGGGTGCAGCCGTAGAACCGCTGATCTGCTTTAACTTCGTGCTAAATAATCGGTTAATAACATTTAAAAGCAGATTCGAAAAAGTAAGTAATTAAATCTCGGCAACTGAATTTCAACAACTGAACTTTACCCCTGAATTTAACGCCCTGCAAAAATTGAAGTCTCCATTCATGTAGTTAAACAGCCAACAATAATGAAAGGCGTTGAAGTCAAACAAAAGGTACACCCTGTAAAATACACTTTGTGCAATTTTCGCTAATAATTGCCAACCACTTCAGCAGCAACTTATCGCCCACTATCCCTACTTTGCACAGTATCCACTAGTTTGCAGTAGCTTCGATAGCTACCAGATGGTCTTACGTTTACAGCGCTCCTGGTCAACATTGGAACGGCGTCGACTTTATCGCCGAACCAATCAACACCCACAAGGAGGTGTCCACACAACCCTCACACATACACACGATCTTATGAACTCACCCACCCAATCGCTGGTCTACCTAGAAATCCGCAGAGTAGCAGCTCGGCCAACATTTATTTTATTTTAATTGAGCCATAACGGTTTGCTGTAAAGTGACAAAACTAAATGAAACTCAACTTCGCGACGACGAACATCACTAATGACAAATGCGCATTTTTTAGCGTCCAAGTTCTAAACTTCTGCCCTTTAGCAATTAATTTCGCTTGCTATATCTTAATTATATTTCTTATTAGTAAATTTCAAAGATAATATCGCTAATCGTTTACCGCATAATTGATGGTTATATTTCATCTTCTTCATTGTTTTTTTCTTATTTTAATTGCAGATTGAGGACGCTATGCTGATGTTCGATAAGCAGACCAATCGGCATCGAGGTAAGTACCGTACAGGTCGAACGAGGGACTCGAATATCAAGAATTCGGTGTTTCGGCTGGAATGTGTAAAAATCTTGCGATCAAATATTATTATGTATATTATTTTTATATAAGTCACCTCAGTCAGTGATGACCAGTCTTTTAAATCCTTTTCGAGGTTCCTTACTTGTTTAAAGAAAAAGCACAGAAATTTCAAATTTAATGGGAAACGTTTATTATCATTCGAAAGAACATTCTTTGACATTTATTTCTTGAAGATCATCTCTTTCAAATGTTGGCCGTTACTACATCTCAGATGATCCATCAGTTGAGTCCCATTTTCGATGACTCGTTCGAGCATTTCGACTAGTATCGTTTCGACTAGTGAATGACACGCATCATGTTCACGCGTATCACCACAGGAAAAGTCTATCATACGATATTGGTGTTGAATCGACCAGCCAAAAATGTGAAATTATCTGCTAACCGTACTATTCTCTCAATAAATCTATTGATTGAGGCCATATGTAAGAAGTGGCGCTGTCTTGGTGAAACGAAATGTCGAGCGGCATTTGCAAGATTTTAATTTAAGATCTCGACGTTGTTCAGGCGTAGATTACATTAATTCCCCCGTTTGTTATACCTAGAGATTCTCCTCTAAGGTAGAGTCATCACACTCCAATTCACAGAATTTTTAACGAAGTACAGTTGGAAGCAGTTATTGGAGCTCTTAATATGACCGGAGCAATCTCAACAATATCATCTACAGTCTGCGTGACAGTGTGGTGAAATGCACGGGCACTTCGGAAAGTAAATAGGAGCACCACGCAAGGTGGCGCCCTTCGCCTTTACTCAGAAGTTCAATGGTGAGCGACACTTTCAAGGAACTTGAAGAACGACGCTGACGAGTGGTTGTCATGCGTTATAGAGCTGGACCTGTAGACCTTCCGTGAGAGCTTCAAGTGCGACTACGATAATTTTCTGATCCAAAGTGAACCGTAAGAAGCCTCGGAACTACTACAAAGTCAATCTAGCCGCAATTGTATGTATTATGACTAGATACCGTCCAATCGGTACACACGCAGTACGTTTAAATATTTTGCCTGACGAACGCTCTTTGCTAAGATATGTCTAACAAAACTAATAGGGCTGTGCAAGCTGACTCTACTCCTGGATCTTCGAGCAGCAGATCTTAGTAGAGAAGGTATAATCTTATTTAACAATGTACAACTGCGCTGATTTCCCCTGGGTGAACAAATAAGCAAACATCAGCCTCGAAATCCAACGCAGAATAACTCTTTCCAACAGGTGCTAGTTCGGACGGATGCTATATGGTGCAGAAGCACGGACGATTGGCAACATCTGAGGAGTCGGAGCGAAAGATTCTATGGAAGATTTATGGTCCTTGCGCATTGACAACAGCGAATACCGCAGTCGAGATATACGATGACATTGACATAGTGCAGCGAATTAAGAGACAACGGCTACGCTGGCTAGGTCATGTCGTCCGAATGAATGAAAACACTCCAGCTCTGAAAGTATTCAACATAGTAGTTGGCGGATTCTCCAATTGAAGCCAAAAATTAAAATGAAGAACAACTGGTGCGCTCTTGTAAACTCGGCTAGACCGTGTAAGCGTTGTCTCATTTAAGTTTTGCAAACAAACCAACAATTAAACATCACGGTGAAGTTAATCATTCGATTTCTTTGAGATAAAGTAAAGAAAGCTTAACGACGGATTGACGGCACTTCGTTCATTTCATTAACGGTACATTTAATGCCACGAAAATCAGAAATGTATCAGATATCCAAAATGTGTTTTAGCGAAAGTTTCAAGTAACAGATTAAATACAATTTCAATGAAAAGAATTCCTTTAAAATTATAAATAAATATATATATTTATATATAAATGTTTGACCATTCATCGTCCGCATCCAAAGCACCGCACCGCAGTTGGGTTGATAAATGCGAATTTATGCCAGTGTGAGCTGCACGAATGAGGCAATTTAATCCACCGCCGTCCCATTCAGCGCCACCGCGAAGTCACAAACACACGCATTGCAAACACCATTTTCTTTTCATGCCTGTGTACTTTCTACACGCTCTGTTACCTTTTTAAGCCCACTTTAATTTGCACTCTTTGCAATTTTCTTTAGCACAGTTTGTAGCGCCGTTGGTGGCCAGCGCCTGGCGCTTGGAGCTTAGCGGAGGGTAGCGGAGGTAGCCGGTGTACGTAATGATGGGCTTGTGACCACGGTCAGGTGCTGAGTTTGTTAAATTTTTTAGACCACGTGTAAATAATTGCAAATCTCAACTTGGGAGTGTGCCAGCTGAGCTGCTTCCTAGGCGCTTTAATGATGGCCGCATTGGCTTATGTAAATAGTGAGAATGTATTTATGGGATGTGTGCAATTTTTAAATTTTAAGCTGACGGCAATGGCAGCTGCACTTTTCGACATTGTTGCTGCTTTGTATAATTTTTCTTTCTCAACCGCAAACAGTTAACTGCTGGATTTGCTTCTGTTGCTCTGGTAGATTTGAGTAAAAGACGCTTTTGTTTAAGTTGTGCCCATGATAAAGAAGGTCGTAGAAGGAGTATTTAGGAGAAGGCGAAATGTAAGAAGGACCCATCGCAAGGGGTATAATATATGTTCCGAAAAGTTAATAACAGCCAGAAGAAATCGTCGAAGATCCCAAAAAATATATATTTAAATCACCGGCAGGACGAGCTGAGTTAATTTAGCCATGTCCGTCGGTTTGGTTTGCATATACTGGAACCATTCGCTCAGTTTTTGCGATATCGCACGGAAATTTGCACTCATTCTCTTCGCCCCAAGATGGTCATTTGTCAGAACCATTGATAGCTGTCATACAAATTGTGCATTAACAAGTAAGATAGAGCTAAGTTCAACAACTTGCAAAATTCAATAATATATCTCACAGACCGATATTTTCGCAAAAACGTTCGCAACCGGAATTGCTGTCCTCCTATTGCGAATCCGGGGCTTTTGTGTTCCGATGTGGACAATTTTTGATCATCAGTTGGTAGATCTTGATTTGTATCTTGAAAAGCGAAAGAATAAAATGGAATTTAAAATTGTTTTCTATGAGAAGCAGGCATGGTTGTAGTCAAATTTCGCCCATTTTTGCACTGGGACATAAAAATGTTGGACAACTTCTAGATATTGATTTTGGTTGAAATCGGTCCCAAGATAAATGATTTCATCTACTCTCTTGGTTCTATTTTGATATAGGCTCCTATAAATTAATCTCAACTGGACCGAAGGACTTTGCGACCGCACAGCGGCTGGTCTGAAACCCAACTCCTATCCGTTTCCATTCCGCGGTTTTTAAGACTGAAGTACCTGTCCTAGCAAGCCCATCAGCGTAACAGTATCCTTCAATACAGCAGTGGTCAGGCACTCAAACTGGTCTAATCATAAAATAATAGCAGTCAGAATACCTAAGACTAGAGCTGATGGAAATTTCCAACGAAATTTCCCGTCAACCCTTCACGTGATCTTTGATCTTTCCTTAAAAACGCTCGCCCGTCCCTCACATGTTTTTTTTCAACTATCTTACAATAAAATCAAAGTGAACGAGTATTTTGGAGTGTCCAGAAGACAATCATCTACGTACCTCGATTCTTTAAGTCTGAGGACAGCTTTCGCCGCCATACACCTTCCGGCTATGTCCACCGGTGCTATATGCATTCATACCAAAGTTGATGTGATTCCTAGTGCAACCCAAGTGAAAATTCTATAGAACATTATGGTTTCATAGAAACAAGGTCATTGGTGAGATTCCTCACATTTCACATATGACTCCCTTACAGCAGTACAGCGCAAGCCATGTCTTCCTTGCTCTTTTCTCGATGTTGGGTTTCCACAAGAACTTCTGGGATGAGCCTTAAAATTAACGACGAATTAACAGATCTAACAGTACATATTCTCACCTGAGTATGTCAGCTTTACATATATAGCGTAGTTGGGTTAAGCTAGATTAGGTTAAAATATCGGTATGATAAAATACAGTAGGGACTTAGATAACTCAAAACGCCGGTCCGTTGTAATAACTTCTAAGTCTTGATTAAAGAAGCTTTCATAAATTCCCAAAACGCTGTGAGCCTGCTTGGCGCTGTGGGAAGGACAATTTTTTTTACATTTTTAACCAGTGGCATACTTTTCTTTACAACGCTTTTTCTATATGAAAATCTCTCTGAAATTTTATTCTCAACACAACTGATATATTTTTATTATTTTTTTACTGCACTTACCCGCTCTTTATTTCCCCTTTCTGCTCATAAACAAATCGCAAGAATAATGTTTTTCCGTTCCGCACAATTTATTTCAAATTAAATGCATACACTTCATGTAATTTCTGTACTTACCTGTTATCAAATTATATTCAAAATAAATTACTAAAACGTTCATAAATACTCAAAGATCGCCTTATGCCTATCTTTATGATTTCACATCGTGTGCTTCGCCTCCAAAGCGGATGCAAGCGAGATAAAGCAATAATTAAAATTGCGAGTTCCCCTTCTCCATAGAGAAACTCTAACTACTAGAGTAAAGAGTAAGAGAATTAAGGAACATGACTCGGAAATCGTGCGTAAGGATATTTTATTTTTTTATTAAGCGAAATGTTAGCTACGATTGCAAAGGGTGCCACATAAATGGTCTCCTTTTTATAACCGAGAATGCCACTATGAATTTACGTGCGTTGGAAGACAATGACAAATAAATTGTTTTCTTGTGAGATAGCTCTTACGGTCATTTTGATAAAATCACTTGACATAAACTCAATCTGTCAAGTATTTTATGGGTGAATTGATTAAAAATAATTATTATTCTGATCTGAGAATCATTTCAAAGTATGTTAGACATCATGGGAATATGTTTACTCAAAATGAGGCCGCTTTTTCCAAACATTAACACAATGAAAGTTGTAAATACAGTTTGAGTGCTCCAAATATTTTAACGGTATTTCGGACTACTGCTAAACTCGCAAAATGGCGT